TAAAAAAAACACACACCAAGATGAGGAGGGCAGAAGCTATCCAAGATGGAGCAATGTGTATGATTCCAAGTATTCTTCCCAAAAGCCATCCTGAGTTGCGCACTACCAATGTAATTGCAACAATTCCAAGCTATCACTCAGCAGGATATATACCAGGGGACTATGTTTTCCTGCTCCTATTAATCCTGATAGTGCCAAGCAATGGGTCTTCATCTTCAAAGAAGCCTTATAGAATGCTTTCCCAGAACATCTGTCCAACTGGAAATAAATCTTCACCCTTGTGGCCTGCAGCACTGATGGAAGGGCTTCAGGGAAATCTCATTTCTCCATGGGAATCTGCTTGGTATTCTTGGTCTTCCTTTTCTTTTACTGTTTGCTAATGTGAAATTGACCCCCAATGTCCAGCCTGTGCATTGCCCTCTGCTGGATGATGGGTGATCAGGAGCTGCCCAGTTATGCTGTCTGCTGCCAAGAAAACCATGGCGAAATTTGGGAACATTGGACAAAGTGGCCACCAAGAAGTCTCTACTTTGTGCCTAGCAGATTGGTAGATGTAGATGGACAACAGCACTAGAAGCCATCCTGGCTGGCTGGAAACATGTTTTCAATGTGTCCCCATGCCCCAGAGTGATAGTCTTTGGATAGTATTTTCATGCAATATGTAAAGTTCAGATGACCTGCATATGGACTTTTTAAAGTATCTGCAGCTGCTTCTTTGGAAGTAGGATTGTACCCGGTATAAGTACACATGGTGAAATAAAGGCAAATATGTACAAGTGCATATTTTATATGTGACTTACAGAACTAGGCTGCCCAATTGTTTTATTTATTAAGCACCTTGTCAATTTGTTTTAAATTAAAAATAGTTTTTTTTAGAAAGCAAATTAAAAACAGTTTTTTTAAGAAAGCAAATACATAGACACACAATGCAAATAATTCTGAAATATGCTATATTCTATCAGAAAATCTTATCTGCAGGCCCTGTTGTGGTGTGTGTGTGTGTTTGTGTGTGTCAGTCAGTGCACGTGAGTCTATCGTCTGCAGACAATCGAGAGATGTACTTGCTGAAAGCTCTTGGCTCACGTTCTCTCCTATTATTCCCCTCCCCTTTGGGCTCTGCACACATGCCATTATTCTCCCTCTGCGACAATTCTTTCATAGACTTCCATGGTGCGCTTTCTCCTCTCCTGGCAACAGCAAAGGAGGAAAAAGACAAAAAGCTCTGTGGAAAAAAAAAAAGTTGGCAGATGGCAGGCAACCCCCCTCTCCAGCCATTGTTCTTTTCAGCCTCTGCTGCCAACTGTAGGAGAAAAGGCATGTGGCTTCACAGTCAGATGGAGTCTTCTGTAAATGCTCTTGTACAATTAATGGCTTTGAAGGCATTACAAATTAAGAAGGGCCATAAACAGGGGAATGAATTTGGACAATGTCAATGTAATGGTTGCCAGATTGGGACTTTATAGAGTCACTGGGAAATAAATCTCACCCCCACCCCCCACCCCCACAAAAAAACCTCCAGCTGAAGCTTAAGTACAAAAGTATGCTTTATAGGGAGTGCCACATAGTCATTGAATAGGCTTGCATCCTATTGTATGCAGGAGTAGCCTTCAATCTGTTGGAGCAACAATGCCTTCAAGCCCAGGGATCATCGATCGCTTTTTAATTTATTTCCGTATGATTTTCATGAGCACTCAATGCATTGGTGGGAGAAGCAGGATCACGACCGTAACTCCCCTTTTTAGTTACAGGAATAGTCAAATATTGTACAAATATTTTGATCAGTAAATAAACAAGCATGCTCTGTGCTTACATCAGCATCTGCAGCAATGTTTATATCCAGAAAGCATTCTCTGCATCATCTAGAATCCTGGAAAAACAGAGCTACTATTCCACTGCATACATAATTACATATATTTATTTTACTTGGAATGTGTGTATTTCCACATCACCATGAGCATGTGAGCTTTACATTCCCTTCCCCCTCCCGGAAGATACCACATTGCAGGTAACTCCCCCCCACAAACTCCTGCCAAAACAAAATGTCTATTATTTATTTGTACTCTGCCTTTATTACTTTTACAAATAACTCCAGGCGGCATATCCAACATACTTCCTTCCTCCTATTTTCCCCATAACAACAACAAATCTGTGTGGTAGATTGGGTGGGAAAGAGTAACTGGCTCAAAGTCACCCAGCTGGCTTTCATAGCTAAGGCGGGACTTGAACTCACTACCTTCAAGCTTGGTGAACTGGACCAAGCTGGATCTCATGGACCAGTCTTCCATGCCCAATAGTCTGTGGAATGTGAACAGGAGGGAAATGGTGCTTATTTTATTAAAAAAAAAACACCCTGAAGCTAGTCCAAAATTTAAGTCAGGGGTGTCAAAATGGATGCATCACGCACAAGCGCTGCCCAACCCAGCTCCTGAAAGGCAAAAAACATCATGATATGTTGCAATACATCATGTGACATGATCAAGTTTGACACCTGTGATCTAAGTCATTATTATGATTAAGTCATTTATTTAATACCAAACTGGTAATTGGTGAAGTTTGAATTAAGGATTAAACTAAGAATGGACATCTCTTTCAGTTTTGATTTTATGTAGATCATCATTTCCACATCCCGAAGGGGTAACAGATTAACAGAGTTGGAGGGGACCTTGTAGCTCATCTAAGCTCATCGCCTTGCCATTTTAAAAATTATTTTTTTTTATTACTGTATATACAATTTTCCTAACAAATATATTTTTGTGTGCCATTTAATCAACACTTTTGAACTTAATTTTTAAATTTTTCAATAGTAGATAAGTTCTTGGCTGAGCAATTGCATCAGAAAACAGAGAAACATGCAAACTTAAAAGTGCAGGTGATAGTTTGTCCTGAAACTGCAATTAAGTAATTGATTCGTTTCCTATTCTTATTTTATCACTGCACTGCATCAGAAATTGCACAATGTGTATAACTCTGGTTCAGAAGTGGGATTCAATTTTTTTAACAACTGCTTCTATGGACATGGCTTAGTTGGTGGACGTGGCTTTGTGGTAATGTGATTGGCTGGGCGGGGCCAACTCAACATAACTCACATCAAGGCACGCATCTCCTCGCTTGGCTTCTCATGACTGTAGGGATGCTGCAATAGTCGTAAGTGTGAAAAATGGTCATAAGTCACTTTTTTCAGTGCCATTGTAACTTTGAATGGTCACTCCATACAAACAAAGTACCAGCAAAGGAGGGAAAATAAACTCCAGAGAAGTTCCTGAGACAGGAAGTCTAGTCCTGCCAAGAATGTAATAAGGGTTAATGGAGAGGCAGTTTCTATAAGCAACACCAGAATGTTTCCTTCCTGCCTTCCTTACAGGATTAGGCCAGTAATTTCTTCTAACAACCAGTTCTCTGAATGTTAACAACCGGTTCTAGCGAATAGATGCGAACCTGTAGAATCCCACCCCTGCTCTGGTTCCAAGAACAACATATTGAGAAATCAATGTGTTACCAGGTAGAAGTGCAATCATGTATAAAAATACTTCGTTGTTATTATTCTTTCACAAAGCCCTTCATTGGCATATACTGTGTGTCAGGTTTTCATTGGGACGAATAAGATGTAAAACTTCACTTATTGCCAAATATCCAGGATCCACTCTCTACTGAACCAATGTGAAACAGTTCACAGTTTGTCAAACAGAAGCATAAGATGACAGATTCTTTGCAAGTTGAATGTTATACGTTCTGGAACCGATAACAAAAGCAAAAGCAGCAAGAAGCAAGTCATAATGATTGATGGCTAACAATCCAAAGAGCTAGAGGAAGCGGGGAGACAAACTCTCAGTATGGCATGTTGATTTCCCATCTGTTCCCCCCTGCAGATCTTCCCCCTTCTTTAAGAAAATAAAGTTAACAATGACCAATAAGTTAAAGTTAAAATAAGGCTGTAAATATGCCTATTTAGAATTTATTTTCACCCAACTGAACAAGACATTAGATGAAATGTGTTTAAGGTGGAGCATTAGTAGAAATTATAATGTTCTTGTTGGAGAGTGTTTACCCACCCATGGCAAAGTTAGAACGAGACTCTTGAGTACCTTTTCTGATTAACCAATTTTATTAAAAGAATTTAACTTTCATTCAACATCAGATAAAGTTGCCTCTGATGAACTGAGTCACAGCTTATAAAACTTATGCCAGTGTTTTTCAAATTTGGTAAGTAAGATGTGTAACTCCAACTCCCAGAATTCCCGAGCCAGCAAAGGTACTCCCAGACTCCTTCTTATTTGACTCTCTGTATATCATTTTCTTTCTAGATTGTTTTGGAAATTCCTCCCCCTTAAAGCCATGTGTGGAGCAGTGATCCCAAATCTGACATTCACCAGTAATTTTAGGACTTCAGAGAATTCCTAAAATTCTCAGCCAGCATCACCAAAAGTCATGCAGGAATTGTGAGAATTGCAGGTTCCCCATATATAGAGGATACTAAATTGGGGAAGGTGGGGTGAAGTAGCAACAATTATTTTGCTGTCCAATGTGCTTGTTAATTAAAAAAAAAGCCAATAGCCTAATAGCCTAACAAATTATACGGACCTTTGTCATATTTGTACAGTTTGAAGTAGCCTACTTTGGCAAAGGAAATCACAGCAGAATTAGCACAACAAATCTTTGCCAGAGTGGACCTAAAGTTGATCTTCTTTAAGTAACTAAACTTAAAGTTAAATTAAAATATTCCATTTATTTTATGCGCCTCAAGCTGTATCCTTCATCTTTTTCTTTTACTCTAAGCCAAATGGTTTTATATTTTTTATTTCTTAATATTTCATCCTCCTGGCACATCTCCTTAAATCCACTTCTTTTCCTTGTATCTTCTTTCTTCAAGAACATGCATCCAACTCAGTAATTTGTTTATCCATGGATTTATGGGTTTTTTTCTCTCTCTCTCTCTCTCTCTCGCTCTCTCTCTCTCTGTGTCCTTCCCTTTTCCCTATCCCCACTTCCTACTAATTTCCTAGCTAAAGAAAGTTCACTGGGAGAGACTGAATTACAGCCAGGATCTGATTCTGCTGGAATGGATAGTAGTTATCTCAGCGTGAAAGAGACCAGTGCGAAGACGTCCCAAGAGAGGGCAAGTAATGATCTTCCCAGTCCAATGGACAAGACTGATTCGGAGAGCAACAAGGGCAAGAAGAGGCGTAATCGCACCACCTTCACCAGCTACCAGTTGGAAGAGCTGGAAAAGGTCTTTCAGAAGACCCATTATCCAGATGTCTATGCCAGAGAGCAATTAGCCATGAGGACAGATCTCACTGAAGCCCGAGTACAGGTAAGAGCAGAAACTATAGGTCATGGGAGCAAGAAAATTGGCCAGTCCACCATGCAACCATGTATACAATTACAATAGTAAGCAATATTCTTAAACTGGGATAAATGTACACTGTTCTACAATACACACTGTAGAATAATAAGGCAATGAAAATAGGTAGTCCATTGTATTGAAAACCTTCAAGGAATCTTTTGAAATGGAAAACTTACATTTCTTTCCTGGTGCAAAGGGGCAGTGTTTCGATATCTGGGTACAAATTTGATAAGAACTGAATTTGATTTTTTAAAAGCTGAAAAATTTCTTGGTGTTTTATATACATCTATCTATATATATATAAGCAAAATACCACTCACGCATCTTCACAAAATCCCCAGAACTGTAAAGCCTACAAACTTGAAATTTGGCATGTACGTTCCTTTTGGCTTTTAGGTGCTCACCAAGAAAGGATTTTTTGAAATGACCATCAGAGCATTAGTATTTCATATATTATTATTAACATGCTCTGATGCTAAAGAGTTTTATTCCCCCTCCCCACCTGAAAAGAAATCTGTTCCAAATGCAAAACACAAACAAAGGAGAGGAGTTTCAGTTTCAGTTTTAGTTTCACTTAGTACAGAACAGTTGAACTAAGCCACACCCAGGCTCCTTGCTGCCTCCTTCTTGGTCGCACAGCAAATACTGCTTCAGTTCCCAAAGAGCTCTCAACTCTTTCACACATTGACAGGACGCTAGCCAGATGAATACCGACGGATGCTGGTAGGCAGAGGCACAATTTTCCCCCCATATTTTGCACTCCAAAAACTAAGCCCAACCACATAGTTTCGTGGAGAAGCACAGGTATCGAGCTAATATATAAATAAAATTATAT